GATCCTTTGCATTTCTATGGATTCAGGTGTAATATCTCCTTTTTCATTTCTGATTTTGTTTGAGTCTTTTTTTTCTTTGTTAGTCTAACTAAAGGTTTATCAGTTTTATCTTTTTGAAAAACCAACTCTTTATTTCATTGATCTTTTGTATTTGTGTGTGTGTGTGTATTTAATCTCTATTTCATTTATTTCTGCTGTGATTTTTGCTGTTTCTCTCCTACTGGTTTGGAGTTTGGTTTGTTTTTCTTTTTCCATCTTCTTCAGGTATAATGTTCAGTTGTTTATTTGAAGTCTTTCTTCTTTTTTTGATGTAGGGTTGCTATAAATCTCCATCTTAGAACTGCTTTTGCTATTTCCCATAAGTTCTGGTATGTTGTGTTTTCATTTTCGTTTGTCTCCAGGAATTTTTTAGTTTCCTTTTTGATTTCTTCTTTGACCCATTCATTGTTTAGTGGCATGTTGTTTAATTTCCATGTATTCGTATGGTTTCTAGTGTCTCTTTTGTTGTTGATTTTTAGTTTCATTCCATTGTGGTCAGACAAGGTAGTTGATATGATTTCAGTTTTTAAAAATTTGTTGAAACTTGTTTGTGACCTAAATTATGGTCTGTTCTAGAGAATGTTCCATGTGCTGCTGAGAAGAATGTGTATTCTGCAGCTGTTGAATGTTCTATATATGTCTGTTAGAACCATTTGGCCTAGAGATTAATTGGCCTAGGTTCAGTTGGTTAGAGATTAATTCTGATGTTTCCTGGTTAATTTCTGTCTGGATGATCTGTCATTTGCTGAAAGTGGGATGTTAAAGTCTCCAGCTATTATTGTGTTGGAGTCTATTTATCCCATTAGGTCTAGAAGTAATTGCTTTATAAATCTAGGTACTGCAGTATTGGGTGCAGATATATTTAGAATTTTTATATCTTCTTGTTGAAATGATCTGTTTATTATTATATAATGACCTTCCTTACCTTTCTTTACTTTCCTTGCCTTGAAGTCTATTTTACCAGATTTAATTATATTTATAGCTATTCCTGCTCATTTTTGGTTTCCATTTGCATGAAATGTCTTTTTCCATCCCTTCACTTTCACATGGTGTGTATCTTTATAGATGACGGGAGTTTCTTGTAGGCAGCATATTGTTGGTTCTTGTTTTATAATTCATTCAGCCACTCTGTCTTTCAATTGCAGAATTTAATCCATTAACATGTAGAGTTATTATTGATATAAAGGGTCTTGTTTCTGCCATTTTGTTACTTTTTTTCTGGTTGATTTGTAGATCCTTTTTTCCTTTTTTCCAGTCTTACTGTCTTCCTTTGTGATTGAGTGGCTTTCTCTAGTGGTCTATTTTGATTTCTCACAATTTAGTTTTAGCATATCTATTATAGGTGTTTGTGTTATGGTTACCATGAGGCTTACAAAAACATGTTATAGTTATAACAAATCATTTAAACTGATAACAACTTAACTTTGATTACTAAGAAAAAAGAAAAAAACAAGGCCAACTATGCTTTGATGTTGTTCTCCCTCTACTTTTTGACATTTTGTTGTTCTACATTACATTTTTTAATATTGGCTATCCCTTATACAGTTTTTGAGTTTGTCATATCTTGTTGGATTTGTTCTTCAGTCTTCACAGTAAGGATATAAATGGCTTAGCCACCACCCTGACTACATTGGAATATTCTGAGATTGTCTGTGTACTAACTTTACTAGTGAGCCTTGTATCTTCAAATGTTTTCTTGTTCTACTATAGTGTTGTATTTTTTTAGCTCGAAGAATTTCCTTTGGCGTTTCTTGTAAGGCAAGTCTAGAGTTGATGAATTCCGTTAGCTTTTGTTTGTCTGGGAAAGACTTTATTTCTCCTTTATATTTGAAGGTTAGTTTTCCTGGATACAGAATTCTTGGTTGAGAGTTTTTTTTCCTTCAGCCCTTTAAATATGTCATCCTACTCTCTCCTGGCCTGTAGGGTTTCTACTGAGAAATGTACCAGGAGCTGAATTGTGGCTCTGTTGAATTTTATGTGTTTTCTTTTGTTGCTTTTGGTATTCTTTCTTTGTCTTTGTTTTTTTTTTTTTTGTCTTTTGTCTTTTTTCCGTGTCCGGCAACGGATCGCAACCCTCAGTGTTGCCCCCGTACCGGACCGGGGATCGGCAACGGGATCGCAAGCCTCGGTGTTGCTCCCGCGCCTCGCTCAGCCAGTGAGCGGGAGCCGGTCTGTATGTGGGATCCGAACCCTCGGACGGGAGCGCCGCCGCGCTTCCCAAGCGGCGCACCATCCAGTGCGCCACCGGGCCGGCCCATCTTTGTTTTTTGATAGTTTGATTATGATGTGCCTTGGGGTATTCCTCTTTGGATTGAATTTGATTGGTGACCTCTGAGCTTCCTGTACACAGATGTTCTCATCTTTCTCCATACTTGGGAAAATTTCAGTCATTATTTCCATGAATATATTTTCTATATCTCTTCCTTTTTCTTCTCCTTCAGGTATGCCAATTATGCTGAAGTTGTTTTGCTTGAAGAAGTCCCATAATTGCTGCAACTCCATTTCACTTTTTCTTATTCTGTTTTTCTTTTTGCTCTTCTGATTGGATAATTTCATGTGTTTTATCTTCAAGTTTACTAATTCCTTCTTCTGTTTGATGAAGTCTGCTATTGGAGCTTTCTATTGAGTTTTTCAGTTCAAATGATATATTCTTTATTTCTACAGTTTCTATTTGGTTTTTTTAAATTGGTTCTATTTCTTTGTCAAGTTTGTTGTTATGTTCCTGGATTGTATTCTAAATATTTAATTTTCTGTGTGTATTTTCTTGTTACTCCCTGAACATCTTTAACAGGATTATTCTGAATTTTGTGCGAGACATTTTGTGAATCTGGTATTCTTCTGGTTCCATTTCTGGTGCTTTGTTGGTTTCCTTTGGTAGTGTGATATTTCTCTGTTTTTTCCTCAATGTTTTTGTCTTTACATTGCTTCCTGGGCATTGGAGGAGTCAGCTGCCTTTCCCTGGTGTTATAGGTTTTCTTTGGTGGTGTTAGACCTTTCTTGCTCAGTGTCAGAATGTTGTCTGTGGTCTGTGGTTTTTTCCGTTCTGTGGTGGTTTAATAGCAACCACCACTACCTAAAACTGCTCTGGAACTAATTTGCTGTCTCACAGTTAATTCCTGGATGGGGAGAATCTTCCTGCTATGACCAGAACTTGAACTCTGTGCCTGAGCTAAATTGCTGCCTTACTATCATTTCTCAGTCTGGGAAGATTTTCTTATACAAACCAGATTTTAAATATCAGCCTTTTTTTCACTTCTAGGTCATGTGGGGTCAGCACAAACACAACCAGACTGTATGGAAATTCTGGCCCAGGACTGAGTCTTTCCCACATACTGTGTTCCCTGAAGTTCTACTGCACTGACAGATCTCCACTGTGTGGCACCCATGTAGATCAGAAGGCAAATCAGCTGCCTACACTGATACCCAATGCACCCCTGGTGGATCAGCACCATCGTTTGGCACTGCAGATGTTTCCTGTGGGACAGACCCTGCATAAGCCCTGCAAAGACTAACCCACTTCTGGGGGATTTCTTCCTCTCATCACCTGTGGCCCTTTCCTCCTGTGTGGGTGTAGGGGAAGCTTGCAAGGAGCTTTGCTGGCCTGGAAAATGGAATAGTGCACACCAAAGTGATTTTTTTTTTTTGCCAGTGGTCATGGCACCCTTCTCCTCTGCAGACACCAAGTAGCTTGCTGCAAAGGGCGCTTCTGTCTCTTTGCCGTCTTTAGGTAGCTGCTTTTTGTGCTGGTAGCTGCTCTATGAATGGCTGGGTCTGGGTCTGGTCAGGGTAGTCCCTCCTACCGCTTGCCATGGCTTTCATGCCTTCACAGACTCAGCAGATCTCTTCTCCTTTTCCCCCACTTCCAGTGATTACAGGGTGGAATATTTGTGTTTTAATAGTTGTAATTTAATTTGTTGTGGTGGGGAGCAATGCCAGGATCATCTATTCTACCATCTTGGTGACATCACTTCTCTTGTGTTTTTTGTTTTTTTCTTCCCTATTATCTTTCATTTTCCTTAGAGACTTCTTAAATATTGTCAGAGAAGCATATTTCTTTTAGTTGTGTTTTCCTGGTATTACATAGGGTATTGATGTGGTGATAAGGTGTCTAGGGGGGGAAGCATTCTGTGGTCCTGTTGTCTTTTAGTGAGCTGTACCCCTGGCCTGTGACCTTCTCAAGTGCTTCTCAGTTTTGCTTTGATTTTTCCCCCTTAGGAGAGACAGGAAGGCAAGCTAGATCTTAAGTTGGATATTTCCCTTCACTCAGGTCAGTTAGGTTCTGGTAAAACTGCAGTAGGTTAGGCTCTGGTAAAATAGTTTCTTTTGAGGACAGGCCTTATTAAGAAGAACAGCAGGCTTTGAGCATATTTAAAAATGGTTACTTTTCTTCTCCCCCTGCTGGAAGCATGGGAGCATGAGGGAATTTTTCTCAGATCTTCACTGTGAGAACCTGACACAGGGCTCCTGAAGGTAAAACTCACAAACAAGTGAGTTTAACCTGTGACAAGATTCCCCCCTGGAGCATTTACCAGCAATTGTCAATTATGGATTTTGTTTTCCTATGCCCATTCTGGTTCACAACGAGTTTTCTACTTACTGGGCTTCTGCTCCAGTACATTTTGATTCTCTGTATCCACCTGTCTGTCCCTTCAGTTTTTGGGGCAGCAGTTTGCCCTATGACTTCAATTCTCTGATGGATCTAAGAAGAGTTTATTTTCAATTTGTTCAGCTTTTTTCTTGTTGAGTGGATTGGAGAAAAGACTTCCAAGCTCCTTATATGCCAGACTGCAAGGGAATTTTTGAAATATGAAAAACTTATTTTCTTGTAAAGTTTAGATCTATTGAAACTGGTTAGAGTAACTATCTTTTAATTAATGCACTTCATTTTTCTATTAAAAAGGTTAAAAAGTATGATCTTTTGGAAAATTAACTCTTTTTTCTTGTTTACTTTTCTCAAATAGATCCCAAATGCCCAGGAGATGTTGATTTTCATAATAGTGACTGGGACATTAAGACAATCACCAGCTCCTTGAAGTTCTACCTCAGGTATGCCTTATTTGAATTGTTGCTTTGCTTTTTATAGTTGAAATTTGTCTGGAGTTAATGTGGTTTCAGTTTCAAGAGGTTGGATAGGATTGGGGATGAAAAACAGAGTGAAGAGGATTTCTGTCAAAGAAGAATGTTCATTAGAAGACTTTTTTTCTGAAAATGTAAACAAGGGAAGCATATAAATAATAAAATTGTTATTTTAAAAAAAGACTTTTTTTTGTTTGTTTGGTGAGGGCAACTGGCTGGTACAAGGATTGAATCCCAGACCTTGGCATTATCAGCATCACACTGTAACCGACTGAACTAACTGGCCAGCCCCTGCCAAAAGGCTTTTTAAAAAATATGTTACTTAAAAAAATTATGCCCTTGAAGTAAGTAAAGAAGTTTTGCCATTGTTTACAAATAGAGTTATGTCATGATGGGTTCACTAGTAAAATCATGAGTTGTGACAATTTAGGGTTGTTAACATTTTTTAGTGGATAACAACCAACCATTTTGAAACTTCAAATTGCATTTTGGCAAAAACTGTGTGTGTGTGTGTGTGAGAGAGAGAGAGAGAGATGTGTTATATATTATGCTTTAATCCATGTAATGTAAATAAAAACCAAGAAAATACAACTATGAAAATGTTGGAGCTAAATGAAGTGGCAGCAGTGTGAAAAAAAAGTTAAGATGACAGCAAAACTTAGGGATGCACAATGATGATGAACATACTGTTCAGTTTAGTGTCATACATTTATGTTATGCAAAAGGTGTTTGAGACATATATATTTTTAATCCCATTCATTTCTTACCTTTTTTCTGTTCCATAGTAAGCACCATAGTTTACATTGTAAAACATCTTCTTTCCAACTATTGTGCTCTTTAGGCATTAAGATAGACACTTAATCTACAGAAAATATCATTAATCCAAAGTAGATGGCATTGCAGATATTGCTGTTAAACGTTCTTCTGCTGTAGCATCATCTTAGGGCTTTAAGTAAATGGGAATGCTCTTTCCATGAGTATTTCTTCTGCATCTGCCAAAGAAGAAAGGACCTGTCATTGGAGGTTTTATTCTATGCTAGGCAGTGTGCTAGTTGCTTAATTAAGTGTCATTGTTTTATTCTCCCAACAACTGTAATAAGGTAGGTGGTTCTATAATCATTTTACCGATGAGGAAACTGAAGTACACCCTTTCCTCCATTAAGTAATATTAATGTCACAGCCAGTATTATTTGAACCTAAATGTCTCTGACTTATAAGGCCACTGGTACTGGGGCATTCTTCTTTCCTACCCTCTACTCCCAGGGGCTGTGGCCTTCTTGGGATCTCTTGGGTAATTTAGTAAAGACAGACAGAAATCTGCCATGAGTACTTTCAGAAGACTACTGATAATGAGAATAGTAGCAATAAGTAATTTTGTGTCTATAGCGTCCTTGAAAGGAGTCAGAATTTTCAAGGATTTATATAGGTTAATGCTCTCCCCACATTACATCATTAACATCTCATCCCATAATAAACAGTGTGTCACTTTTGAAAGATGGGAACATCGAACCTGAAAGTGTGAGTGGGTGGCACCCCCACTAAGAGATGTTTGTTCTTGAGACTCTCATCTGAGGGCCTTTAATATATATCAGCCAGTCAATACCTTTAGATTTTTTGAAGGTATCTGTTCTCAGAGTGCATCTCCATCTGTGTTCTAGGTACCTAAATTACCTCTTATCTTTAACATTTCTAGAAAAGTACTCTAGATGTCATCCCTTCTCCCTCCTGTATCTTTAACCTCTTTCATTCAACTGGCTCTTTTCTCTCAGCATATAACATGCTCCAGCAACACACATCTCTAAATCACTCAATCATTCAATAAAAATTTCATGAGTGCCTACTCTATGCCAAGCATGATGCTAGGCACTAGGCATACAGTTGTGAATAGATATGGTCTCTGACCTTAAAAAGTTTATAGTCTAGTGAAAGGGACAAGCAGAACGCATCATACAAATATAACAAACAGTATTAAGTGCTCTGAAGCAAAGGTATAATGTGCTATGAAGATACTTAGTAGGAAGACCTGAGCTTGTTGTTTAAGCTGAGATGTGAAGTATAAGTTGGAATCAATTGGGGTGGGGTAGGGGGATTCTAGATGGAGGGAACTGCACATGCAAAGGCCTTCAAGCAGGAGGGATGAAGGCCTCTTCAAGAAACTACATGAACCAGTATAGGTGGAGTATTTAAGGTAAAGAGGGAGGTGGAGGTATGTAGGGGCTAGATCATTCAGGGCCTTATAGGATATTTTAAGAATAAGGGTCTAGATTTATCTTACAAGTAATGGGAATATATTGAAAGATTTTAAGCAGGGGTTACATAATGAGATATGTGTTTGGAAAAATAAATACTATGGAGATTAGATCAGAGGATGTATTAGTCCATTTCTGTTGCTTATAATAGAATACCTGAACCTGGGTAACATATAAAAAAATGAATTTATTTCTTACAGTTTTGGATTCTTGGAAGTCTGTAGTCCAGGGAACATATCCGGTGAGGGCCTTCTTCTTGGTGGTGACTCTCCATAGCCACACAGGGTATCACATGGCGAGAAATGGCTAAGCAAGAGTTCTAACCTTCTTACTTGTTCTCCTTTTAAAGCCTTTAGAACCATACCCATTACTCTGTGAATGGATTAATCCATGCACAAGGGCAGAGTCCTCACAGTCCGATCACCTCTTAAAAGCCCCACCTTTCAAATAGCATAATCGGATTTTCCACCCTCTTAACACTCTTACAGTGGGGGTTAAGTTTCCAATACATGAACTTTCGGGGAATACATTTAACCCATAGCAGAAGGAGATAAAATGTGTAGAGTTGGAAATCAAATAACAGGCTATTGCTGTGGTCCAAGCAAGAGATAATGCACCTGCTTGGACCAGAGAATAGCAGTGGAGGTTGGTAGAAATAAGCATATTCAAGAGATTTAGAAAGTAAAATTGACAAATTGGATATGAGGGTAGGGGAGATGGAGATAAAAGGATGACTTTCATGTTTCTGGCCCATATAACCAATTGATGCTCATGCACATACTGATTTGGGAAACATAAGAAGACCAGATTTGAGGGAAATAATAAGTTGGAGTTTGGATATGTCAAATTTGGGTGCCTTTAGGGCACAACGTTAAGCAGGCGATTGAATATATAAGTCTGAAACTCAGGATTGAGTTCTGGGCTTGAGCTAAAAAATTGGGGACCATTGACTATCTACGTGATAATTAGAGCCAGGAACTTAGACAAGATTGCCTAATGAGATACTCTACCCTTTCCCAGCCAAGCTTCTGTAGCAAATAATAGACACTTCCTGTCTCTACTTCTTAACCCACTGGTTTACTTGTCAATCCATTGTAATCTGACTCTGGCCCCCTCTGCTCCCCTGAAGCTGCTCCTGCCAAAGTCACCAGTGGCTACCTCAAATGCTGCACACAAAGGTCAATTGTCAGTCTTTACCTTACTTGACCTCTTTGTAGCAGTCGAAGCTATTAACAAGCCCTACTTGAAACTTTCTCTTTTGGATTCTGCTGTATCTCTTGTTTTTGGTTCTTCTCTTACCACTGTGGCCATTTTTGGTAGTCTCCTTTATGAGCTTTCTATCTGGTATTTCCCAGGGCTCTCTTTTCTTTTTACTACACTAGAGGGATGGAAAACTTGAATATCTACAAGGGCTAGGAAATGAAAATGAGTAAGTAGACTAATACTGAACACGTTGCATATTGAGCCTTTATTTGCATGGCAATCCTTTTATTTACATATAAGCAGCAGCATTCTTTACTTCCACAAATAACCAAGTGGGCCCAATGAAGCCAGATCTTTCAGTTTTTTCAACAGAGGCAGAATATATGCATTTTATATGAAATATCACAATTTTTCATATTTTGATCATTGATTCAAGAACATTTAATTTTTATACAGTGTGCTAGACAGTCAAGAAATGCCAAAATGCCTCATGTAGCCATTTGGCTACCAGTTTGCCATCTCTCCTGGAGCAGTGGCATCTGTTGACATGGGTTTAATCCCCCTCCTAGTTTAATGATTTCCACATCTGTCTCACAGACCTAGAAGTGCCCTGCATCTAGCTTCTTAATAGATGTCTCCTCTTAGCTGACCCAGCAGTCCTCTGACTTAGCATCTCCACTTCCCTCTTAATTATAGCTGACCCTTGAACAACATGGATGTAAACTGTGTGGGTCCACTTATACACTTTTTTTTCCCAATAAATTTACTGTACAGAACTGTACATATATTTTCTCTTTCTTATGATTTTCTCAATAACATTTTCTTTTTTCCAGCTTACTTTATTGTAAGAATACAATATATAAAACATATGCAACATATAACATATATATATCATATAAAATAACATATAATCTACTGTTTGTGTTAAGGCTTCTGCTCAATGGTAGGCTATTGATAGTTAAATTTTGGGGGAGTCAAAAGTTATCCATAGATTTTTGACTCTGTTGGGTTCAGTGCCCCTGACTCCTGCATTGTTCAAGTGTCAATGGTAATTCCTATTCTATCCAGTCACCAAAACTAGATTACTCTCTCCCTCACCATCATACCTAATCACTAAAGGAATTCTTTCTTTAATATCTTTGTAAACACTCTCATCACCTTTTCTTTCTATCTTTATTGCTACTATTTCTTTAGGTCTCTGTTGTCCTTTGCTTAGATTATGTCAATAATAACAGTGACAGGCAGTATAACATAGTTATTAAGAGCATGGTAGTAGTAGTAGTAGTTGATTACTTTCTTCCTCTGAGCCACCCACCACATACCTTTATTTTATTATTGCACTTGTCCCACTGCATTGCAAATTTTGTATATGGCACTCTCCTCGACTAGACTATTAGCTTCCTGGAGGTGTGAACTATGTTTCATTCATCTCTGGATCCCCAATACCTGGCACAGTGCTAGACACAAGTAGGTGCCCAGCCAATGTTTTTTGACTAAATGAAGATATCTATTTGAGCTTTAGTTTTCTCTTTCAGTAAATGGGGATTTGAATAACTGATCCACCTCACAGGATCATTGGAAAGATCAAATGGGAGGACAGATGCAAAAGCACTTTAGGAATTCTAAGGATCTATCAAATTGTAAGAGATTCTTGGTAGCATTAAGTGTGGGTCCACTCGGGAATTTTGCAGGATTGATTTGTGCTTCCTTTTACTTTTGGGAGCTAATTGGAGACCTTGCCGAAGGTCTCAGACCATACTTTTTCAGGTCTTCTGTTGAATTACTAGCAACTTGGATTCCTCTGAGAAAGCTTTACATGAAAAGAAAAATGTATATAAACACACTAAGCTGTGGGGCCCACAAGCTTCAGCCTCTCTGCCCGCAGAACTGAGAATCGAAGGCCTGGCTACTCCCTCCCCACAAAACTTACAGTCTCCATTAATTTCAGGAATCTCTCTGAACCTGTCATGACCTATAGACTCCACAAAGAGCTGGTCTCTGCTGCTAGTAAGTATTTACGTTACTCGTTAATTGTGTTATCCTGGTTTCTTAGTAAGGTCTTGCTTGCTGTATTTTGTATAAATCAATGTTAGTTGAGTGGGTTGGAGAAAATTTGCTAACTTGAGGGATGTGACAGGTGTAAAGATTTTATTGATTTATTTATATATTGCCTCTTCCACTAGAATAAGAGCATTGGCTCACATTACCAGGGGACAACAAAATGGTTACATTACAGTTGCTGTTTCAGCTTCCTTCAGCACTTTGCCTTTTCAAATGCTTTTCAATTGTGTTGTGAATCATTGCTCCTAATCTGTTAACACTGGCATCACATTTCCTAGATGAGAAAACTGAGGGTGAGGACGGAAGGGTATATGGGAAATAAGTCATATAGGATCACCCCAAAAGTTGGCAGCTGAAGAAGCATTAAAAGATTTGGCTGAGGCCACTGTACGAATGTCCTTTCCTACTATATCCTGCATCATGTCCTGTGTGGTGTGTAGGACAGTGATTCAGGGGACATGACCTCATAATGGGTCTTTGTTGAGGTAAGGGAGATTTGGTCTTTACTTCTGGGCTCTCTCAGTGATTTTCACAGGACTGCTGAGGCAGCAGCATATCTCTCAGTACCATAGGAACGTGGGTGGGAAAGGATTTTCAGCTGGAAGTGTACATGTGGGACTATCTCATTTGAGATAGTCTTATCTTCTCTTTTCTTCTATTTTCTATTTTATTCATCATTTTGGCCTATTTCGTTCTTTGTTTCTTTTTGTTCCTCTCTTTGCCTTTGTTCTCTTTCTTTCTCTCAGTCTTTTTCTTGGTGTCTGTCATTGTGTCTCTGTACCTATCTATCTCTCTGTCTCTTTTCATCTCTTTGACGCTCTGTGTCTCTGGTTGTCTTTTTCTGCGTCTGGAAGGGCAGGGGGCAGGTGTTATGAATGAGAGTTTGCTCAATCCAGTTGCCCAGAAAGCCAAACCACCTCTCTGACTGTTCTTTCTCAGAATCTGACAACCTGGATTACCGACTGGGAGCTATTCACTCCCTGGTATATAAGCTACCAGAAAAGAACCGAGAGATGCTGGAACTTCTGATAAGACACTTGGTCAAGTAAGTAACTGCTGGGTTTTCAAAAAAAAATTCCTATTAGAGGACTGGTCCACATGGGAGGACTGCACAGAAACTGCCTCTTAGCTCATTAACTCTGAGTCCCAACTGCTTTCTGGGCAGGCTGAGTACTCTGTAATGTAGGTGATTTTGCATGGACCCTTGTATATATCTTCTCCAAGTCATCATGCATTTGAGTTGTCTCAGTTGAAGGGTAACACCAAGATAGAGTGGGCCGAATACAGGCTTTGCTGTCAAATAACCCTGGTTTTGAATCCAAGACCTACAACTTTTTTAGCTGTATAATCTTAAGTAAACCTCTCTGAGCCTCTGTTTGGTCATCTGTACAATGAGAACAGTAATGCCTACCATGCAGCGTTGTTGTGTGTATTACAATGAAGACAGGTAAAGTGCTTGGCACATAGGAGGCTTTCAAGAAATTGATACTTGTAAAGATTCTGGTCAGCTTCTTGCCCTATTGGGGCATGCATTAACACACAGCAGCATTCCAGAGAGTAGGCCTGGTTATGGGCTCCAAGATAGGTGGGTGAAGAGGTACATGTGCCCCATGTTGGTGCTTCCTGGACAGAGGATTCAATGTTGTAAGTAAAGATGAGTTGACTTGGCTCAAAAAAGGCAGAAAGCACTCTGTCCAGGAGTCAGCAAACCTGGGTTCTAGCTTCAGTCGTACTACTAGTTCACTTGGTTATCAGGGGCAGGTTACTCTCAAGGCTCTCTTAGTATATTAAAAGGTAAAAAAGTGCAAAAATCCACTTAGAAAAATTGTAATGCATCTTAGGTGTATATATTTAGCAAACAAAGCTATCAGCACACTCAAAAAAATGCTGTAATAATATATTTAACCTCATTTGGAGAGGATCTCAAATACCTAAAATTGAATCCCTTAGAGGAGGTAAGTCTCCAGGCTAATGGCCCGCACGGCCTCCCCCTGTGATAGATCCTGACTGTTCTGCCTATATGGACCTCAGATTTCCCTATGATATGAGATATCACCAAGATCAGATCCGGCTCTGACTTTCTAAGATTTTTTTAACACTTCTATAGCAAGTGAGTATTACAGACACTGATACAGATAACATGCACAATTAAAAAGAGGATGGCTTTTATATTTATTGCCAGTGTTTGCAATTTGGGCCAATAGAGAACGTTAAGAGGATTTTCTCTGCACAGAATAGTTGGTGATAATCTCAGTAAGAGTACAAAAATCAGCAAAGAAGCCATTTGCATGTTAACTTAAAGTTGTCCTGGGGGAAAGAGACTTTGGGTTCAAATTCCAAGTCTGTCACTAATCTGCTGTGTGACCTAAAGTCCCTCCCATTCTCTGAGGCTCATTTTGCTTTGTAGAGGGGACTGGACCAGCTAATTTTGAAGGGCTGTTTCAACTCTGACTTTCTAAGAGTCTCAGTATATGACAGGAGCCAAAGACATAATTGAGAATGCCTCTGCTAGCAGTGAGTGAAAGGGTGCTTGCCTCCATCCACCCAAGGGCTGGCCACTGCCTGGCTTACTTCAAGAATTTTGGTTCTCAGAATCCCTGAAACAAAATGAGTGTGGGAAAAAACACATATCAAAGTGTTTTCCTCTATTCTGACTTAGCAAAAACACAGAAGACTTACTTCTGTGACCAATGTTTGGGGATTTCTCCCCACCAGCAAGCGAGTAAACAATTCCACAGCAGACACCAGCTGGGTGCCCTGCATTTCAATTCCCACACTGTCTCCTTGTTGAAAGCTCAGTTCCCCCTAAACTTCTGATGCCAGTTGCAAGCTACCTGGATTGTTTTACCTGGGCTTCTTACCAACTGGCTATAAATTGGGGTTCCCAGGACCCCCTCCTCCTGTTTAACTGATTTGCTGAGTGGCTCACAGAACTCAGGGAACCACTTACATTTACCTGTTTATTACAAAGGATATTTTAAAGGATACAGATAAATAGCCAGATGAAGAGATGCATAGGGGGGAGGTATGGGAGAAGGGGCACGGAGCTTCCATGCCTTCCCTGGGTGCACCACCCTCCAGGAACCTCCACGTGTTCAGCTGTCTGGAAGCTCTCCAAACCCTGTCCCTCTGGGTTTTTAAGGAGATTTTATTACATAGGCATGATTGATTAAATCATTGGCCATGGGTGATCAATTTAACCTGCAGCCCCTCCCCTCTTCTCTAATCCTGCCTTGGTCTTTCCAGTGACTAGCCCCCATTCCTGAAGCTACCCAAGGGCTGCCAGCCATCAATCATTAGCATACAAAAAGACATATCACCTTGGAGATTCTAAGGATTTTAGGAATTGTAACATGCCAGGAGATAGGGACAAGACCATATATTTTCACAGTTACCACACAAAAGGAAACATGAACAGACAGATCACAGAAATAGAAAGGCAAATACCCTTAAATATATGAAAAAAATGCTCAGCTCACTTATAGTAAAATAAAATGAAAATTAAACCTATACTGAGCAACCATTTATTGGCAAATTTCTAATGCTTGACCACATTTTCTGTTGAGACTATTGGGAAACAGGCACTCTTAAACATTGCTGGTGTTAGTGCAATACAGTCCCAGAGGGGGGGGATTTAGCAATATCTAAGAAATCTACATTTTCGATTTCACTTTAACACAGCAATTCCACCTGTAGGCATCTACTCTAAAAGGTACACCTTCACAAATACAAAACAGCATATGCACAAGGTTTGTCATTGCAGCATAATTTTTAATAACAATAGATTGGAAAAAACACAAATATCCAACAATAGGGGACTAGTTGAGTAAATAAGGGTATATTTAACAATGTAGTATTATGCAGTCAGAAAAAAAAAAGAACGAGGAAGATTTCTATAAACTTTGTTTTTATAGTTTTTTCCCAAAATACATTGCAAATTTATAGGATGAAAACAACATAAAAAACAAAAAAACCCCAAGATGTAAAGCAGCATATATAATATACTAGCTTTTTCTGTAAGAAAAAAGAGAGAAATAAGAATATACACACATATTTTATTACTTTTGTTAAATGAAGCAGACTAAGATAAAAAAAAACAATGACTCCAAGTGTTAAATGTAGAGTTGCAACAGGACCCCGAGATTCCACTCCTAGATATTTCCTAAGATAAGTGAAAACATATGCCCACACAAAAGTTTGTATACAGATGGTCATAGCAGCCTTTTCATAGTTGTCCAAAGGTAGAAACAACACAAATGTCCGTGGTATACCCATACAGTGAAATATTATTCAGCCATAAAAAGAAATGAAATACAGGGCCGGCCCGGTGGCGCACTGGATAGTGCGCCGCTTGGGAAGCGCGGTGGTGCTCCCGCCCGAGGGTTCGGATCCCACATACGGACCGGTTCCCGCTCACTGGCTGAGCGAGGCGCGGGAGCAACGCCGAGGGTTGCAATTCCGTTGCCGGTCCCCGGTCCGGTACGGGGGCAACACTGAGGGTTGCGATCCGTTGCAGGACACGGAAAAAGTCAAAAGACAAAAAAAAAAAAAGAAATGAAATACGGACACATGCCACAACATGGAGAACCTTGGAAACATTCTGCTAAGTAAAAGAAGGCAGATACAAGAGACCACATATTATATGACTCCATTTATATGAGATGTTCAGAATAAATAAATCTGTAGAGATAGAAAGATCAGAGGATTGTGGGGGTATGAGAAAGAGTGAGAGCAACTGATAATGGATATGCTGTTTCTTCTTAGAGTTATGAAAATTTCTGGAATTCGTTAGTGGTGACAGTTGCATAACACTGCGTAACACTAAAAACCATTGAATTGTACCCTTTAAAAGGGTGAATTTTATGGTATGTGAAATATATTTCAATAAATTTATTAGAAAAATAAACTAATGAAAATGTTTACTACATGGGAAAGATGGCGAATACGGTGGAGGGGAGAAGAATAAGCGTAGATTCCTCTAAGTCCACGTTCCTACATAATTTTTTAAAATTTAATTTTAATTTTAATTGTTTTATTTATTTTATTATTATTTTTAATTGACACAGTAGTTGTACATGTTTATGGGGTACAGGGTAATATTTCAATATGTGTATACCATGTGTAATGATCAAATCAGGGTAATTAGGATATTCATCACCTCAAACATTTATCATTTCTTTGTGTTGGGAACATTCCATATCCTCTTTTCTAGCAATGTGAAATTATACAGCCAATTGTCGTTAACTATAGTCACCCTACAGTGCTATAGGACTCTAGAACTTATTTCTTTTGTCTACGTGCAATTTTGTCTCCCTATATCCCCTCCCCCACCCTTCCTAGGTAACCACAATTCTACTCTACTTTTATAAGCTCAACTTTTTAAGCTTATACATATGAGTGAGAACACGAGATACTTATCTTTCTGTATCTTGCTTATTTTGCTTAACATAATGTCTTCCAGGCTCATCCATGTTGCTGCAAATGACAAGATTTTATTCTTTTTTATGGCTGAGTATTATTCTATTGTGTATATATATATATATAACATTTTCTTTATCCAGTCATCTGTTGATGGAAACTTAGGTTGATTGCGTATCATGGCTATGGTGAATGGTGCTACAATAAACATGAGTGGAAGTATCCCTTCGGTGTACCAATTTCCTTTCCTTTGGGTATATACCCCATGGTGGGGTTGCTGGATCATATGGTAGTTCTATTTGTACTTTTTTGAGAAACCTCCGTACTGTTTTTCATAATGGCCGTACTCATTTACAGTCCCACCAACAGTGTGTGAGCATTCCCTTTTCTCCGCATCCTCGCCAGCATTTGCTATTTGTCTTTTTAATAGTAGCCATTCTGACTAGAGTGAGATGATATCTATTGTGGTTTTGATTTGCATTTCCTTGATGATTAGTAATAGTTTTGACTTTTAAACCATATTAATGTTTTACATATCCAAAAAATATAGTCAAATCCAAAGTGAAACATTATAAACCCTAAAATTGAGCACCAGAAAAGCAAATGAGTCTAAATGTTTAGTAACTT